TACTATGGAGAATACATGAATAGTGGGCCCGGGTCAACGACAACGTCGAGGGTGACGTGGCCGGGTTACCATGTAATTACCAGTCCGGATGTTGCGTCGAATTTTACTGTGTCTAATCTTATTGCTGGTCAGGGGTGGTTGCCTTCTACTGGGGTGCCGTTTACTGCGGGGTTAATGTGACATAATTGTGATTATGATTGGCTTGATCGTGTTTAATGTTGATTTTTTTTTAACCTCGTGACATTTTAGTGTTGGCTCAATTGGTCCCTATGGATATTTGATCTATTACATTGTACATTTCAATGGATATGTACTAAAGAATTGTGTGATTAATTTATCCTAACATTTTTTTAATTATCACATTGCTCTATCGCCCATTTGTTCTTTATGATCGTTAATCGTTGTAAATATATAGAGAACTCTTAATCTCCGTTAAAATTTAAAAAGAACTACTCCTTCGTGTTGGATTTTGTAAGTTTCATTTAATGTTTAGTCCAAAAAAATTACTATTTTCCCTTCAAAGTAAGTAATATGCCGTTCCTTAGTGTGCCTCATTTACACAATCTTCCAAAATACTTCTTACAATTTTTGCTTTTGTTATTTCGCACAATCTCACTTGATAAAATTTTGGTGTCCAATCATATGGAGGGGATATAAATTACTACCTCCGTTCTTAAATAAGTGCAACATGTGAAATTTTACACTATTCACATGTTCTACTTTGACTACATTTTATTTATTGATGTATTAATACATATTTTTGAAAAATATATTATTAAATTTGTCTCATTGTAAATTTTCAAAAACTGATTTTTTTAAATTTTTTACTGATAGAGAATTATATATATTAATGGTTAAAGTTGTGTCTCGGCAAGTGTAAAATGTTGACTGTTGCACTTATTTAAGAACAAAGGAAGTACTATCTCATCGAATTTCAACTTATTGAACGTAGAAGCGTATTATTAGCAGTAAGGGTTGGTCGGAGTCTCGGAGAAACTGAAAAGAAAAAAACCAAACCGCAATCAAAACAACTCAAAAAATCGAACCGAACAGTAGTTGTTGTTTTTCGGTTTTGGTTTTCACATCTAAAACCGAACCGAACCAAATAAACCAAACTTTTTAAAACTTGTTGTTTTATTTAATAATCATTAAGCACTACTAGGAAAATAGGTTATTACGATGCTTCATATATACTTTTAAAGGCGCTAAAAAGCTAGCGTTGGAAGTACTTTTAACGACGCTTGTAAAAGTGCTCCCTTTGCTTGTGTCGCTAGGCTCTCTTACGGTGCTAATTGTAGCGTCGGTATAGTGCTATAAAAGCGTTGCTAAATGAGAGACACTTTTCAATAGCCTATTAAGGTACATAATTAGCGTCGCAAGATATCTAAGCCCCTTGGAAGCTATCACCATATTCATTTTTGTAATTAATTCCTGCTGCTTTTGTAATATGTTATATAAAACTTTTTAAAACAATACTAAAGATCGTAATTCTAAACAAACTTTTAAAATATAATTCGAACTCTTTAACCACATCAAGGTGCCACAATATCATCATAACAAACAATGTTCTTGCAGTACTTAATTAAAAAATTAAACTTGTATCAAAGTATTTAATACTGAGTATTGTATCCATCAACCCAAATCAATTCCAAATCCCTCCAACTCTACTTCCAAAATCAAACTTGTACTTCCAAAGTATAATCTGAAAAAATAAAAATAAAAACAAAATTAAATAATGAGCAATGTGATGAAATAAAAGATATAAACCTCAAGAACAACAGCAAAAATAAATAAAAAGTACTAATGAATATTTTCTAAACTAGTAAAATAAAATATATTATTATAGAACATGCAATAGGTTAAAGACTCATCAATACAAATGAATATGTAATTGAAGCAACAATTACCACTAGTAACATTAAACCAGTACACATAAAAGTGATATAAGGTCCAAGAACAGATGCAGAACATGTTGCATTGGAAATAACAGATAAGTTGCAAACCAGTACACATAAAAGTAACATTCAACCAGCACTTTTCACAACAAAGGACAGAAACATATTATCAAAGCATGCATATATATGATATAAGGTACAATACAAAAAAAAAAAGTGAAAACATAAAAGTGGTTCCAAAGCAAGTTGCAAATAATATACGACATATAAAACAATACCAGTTGTGTAACCTTTGATGGAAGAATCTCAGATGTCATCACTCAATGTCTGGTAGAAGAAGGATGATCACTCTATAAGCAAACGTTTTTATGTTATTTATTTACAAAAATTAGCATCAAAGTCATAAGATGAAAATGTTACACTTGATAGTACCTGAAAATATTCTTTTGAATCTGATTCATCTGAATTATCTGAATCAGAATCATCAAAGTCAGAACCACAACGGATTTTCAACTTCTTTTTCAACTTCAAAACTGCCATTCCTTTCTTTTTCATCCGTTTCCTCATTCTTTGCATTGAGTTATTCAGCTTTTGTATAGTTATTCCTTGCCTTTTGACACGCTTCTTCAATATTTGCATCGACTGCTTCAGTTGGCGAAGATAATACAAAGTCGTTGTTTCATCACTTGAGGACATGTTTAAGCCATTACAGGCAACCGCCAGCTCTCGAACCAGACTAGAGTCAATCACCTCCAAAAAAGCAATTTAACTCGATGATCCTTTAATAGCATAAATGAGCCAACGGCGATTAAAGCAGACCTCTCATAACTCAATCTTAATGCAAGAGTCTTATAGCAATAAAAGTTACCAACAGAAAAATAAACACTCTGATCAAGAAAAATAAATCGCAAGCAAACAGTAAAATTATAAATAATTAATAATTGCAATTTAAAGACTTTTTTTCCTAAAAAGTACATTTTCTGGCGATAACATACCGGAAAAGATGTCGCAAGCGTCACATTTAATTTTTCTGCCAGAAATTGTACTTTCCGATGGAAAATTCCTTAAATTGCAAATATTTATTAGTTACAAGATAAAATTTGCAAATGACTAAAGTTACAGCACTAATAACGATAACGGGTGAAAGTTACAAGACTAAATTGCAAATCTCGCTATATGTTATACTCCATATGTCCCTTTTTATTTAGCCAAGCACTATTTTTCATGTAAATGATGTTAAACTTTGATCAATTATATATTTATACACCGTAATATGATTATATGAAAATGTTCTTTGTTAAAAATATTATCACAAAAATGAAAATCTATTAAGTTTCATATAAATGTTTGATAACATAATTAATCAAAGTTTATAATCTTTGACTAGACCAATGAGACTGAGTCGGAAACTAATGTGTGTACAAGACACTAGTTATATGTATACAAACAAAAAGTGTTTGCGCACAATCGCACATATATTTTTACAAAATTGCTCTTTGTACACACATGTGTACACACCATGTACACCCTACTTAAACCCAAAAAAATTACCGCCCTCTTTTCCCTCACCTCACACCCCCACCGACCCACTCTCACTCGCTCCCCCTCCTTTCTCTGCGTGCCTTCAACAAATTCAAGAAACAAGCTTCCACCTTCATCGACCTTCACAAACAAGCTTCCTCTTCGATGGATTTTCCGTACGACGACACGTTGGCGACTAACTTCGACGATTTTTGGGCTTCGTGGAATGAGAATCCCGGAGGTGGTGAAGTTGGGATGTCTTCCGGAGCTGGAGAAATTGAAGGACAGACGGCCGGAGCTGGAGAAGGTGACGGGATGACGGACGGAGTGTTGGTGTGTTTTTTAGGCTCCTTGTTACGTATGCGTGTTTTTCCAAATACATGCATGAGGCGTAACTGATAAGGACATACGGCAGAGCTTTATCTTTCATTGTTTCTTTTATTGTATTTTGTATTTTAATGTTGTATTTATCTTTCCAACGGATGAGCAATTGTGCAGCCAAAGGACTCTCATCCACCGAAAGATTAGCATGTACTCGTGTATATATTTTGTGACTCTTCGTTCAATGAAAGCAATTCAATTTGCGCACCTATCTGCTTAATTTGGTATCAGAGCAGCGCAAGTTCCTATCTTGAATTCACCAGACGAACTCACCAACATGGTGAATACGACACACGATACGAACTCCGGCGAACCTAGGAGGAGGAAAATTAATGACCCCTCATCGCCGTATTTTCTATCGAGCTCCGACTATCCTGGAATCAACATTTGCGGATTCACTCTAAAGGGTGAAGGGAATTTCAGGGAATGGACGACGGCGATAAAGAACGCCTTTCGAGCTAAACGGAAATTCGGTTTTCTGGACGGAACAATTAAACGACCAGAAAACGGCGTGGAAGACCTCGAAGACTGGTATACGGTCAATTCGATGCTGGTAGGGTGGCTGATGACAGCCATTGATCCGACGCTGCGAACGAATATTGCATACACGGAGGATGCTGCCGAATTATGGAATGACCTGAAGGATCGGTTCGAGGTGGCTGATTCCATGAGAATTTATGACCTCAAGGAATTAATCCGATCCTGCCGGCAAAATGGACAGACGATTACGGCGTATTATGGACGACTCAAGGCATTGTGGGATTATTACGACGGGCTGCGGAATATTCCGGAATGCACATGTGGATGTTGTAGGTGTGAATTGAACAAGCATTTCACGAAGCAAATTGAACTCGAAAAGACACATGATTTCCTTATGGGACTGGACCGTGAAACATACGGAGGATTACGTTCAAATCTTCTCAGTCAAAAAGAGCTGCCAGGACTCACAAAAGTGTACCAGATTGTTACGCAGGAAGAAAGGCACTTGAACTTGACACGGATTGGAGCTGAAAAGGCTGAGGCGGTCGCCTTTGCTACACGAACTGGAGGGTCGAGTTCTGGAAAAGAAGAGAGGGTTATTTGCAGTTATTGCAAAAAACCTGGCCATGTCGTTGAAAACTGTTTCAAGAAGATGGGACAATACCCGGAATGGTGGTACGACAATCCGGGACGAGGACGAGGACGCGGACGCGGTGGCAACGGAAGAGGGCGTGGCCGGGCGTATGCCAACGCTGTCCAGTTGGGGGAGACCGGCGAGGAGAAGCCGGAAGCATCGGAACGCTCGGATGAAAAAATGCATGCACCTGCGCTCTCTGCCGAACAGTGGAAGAAAGTCTTTGACTTCTTAGAACAAAGTAAGAAGGATACGCATGAGAAGACCTCAGGTAAAATTCACGGAACTCAATGGCTTATAGACTCTGGCGCATCATTTCATATGACAGGGAACAAACAATTGTTGAACAATTCACAGAAGATAAGTCCCGTTTCTGTTTATTTGCCTAACGGTGAGATTACGCTTGCACGGAGCAAGGGTGACGTGAACTTAAGCCAAAATATAAAACTTAATAATGTGCTCTTAGTTCCGGGTTTGACATGTAATCTGATTTCGGTAGGGCAAATACTCGAGGAACGAAAATGTGGTATAATTTTTGCTAATGATGTTTGTGTGATACAGGACTTACATTCGAGGATGCCGATTGGAGCGGGTGAAAAGCGTGGAGGAGTATTCTATTTTCATAGTTTAGATGATGTTCGTGCATATTCAATAAGAAGAAAGGACACGAGTAATTTGTGGCACTCCCGGTTAGGACATCCATCCGAGAAGATTTTACGTTCTGCACTTAGTTTTGATAAATCCTTGTTGTCAGTTGATTTGAATAAAAATTGTGATGCATGTCTGCGTGGAAAAAAGACTCGTGATATTTTTCACACTAGTAATTCCAGAGCATTTGATTTGTTTGATATGATACATTGTGATGTTTGGGGTCCGTACCGGTCACCGGCAACGTGTGGGGCTAGATATTTTTTGACGATTGTTGATGATTTTTCACGGGCGGTATGGGTTTACTTGATGCGTGAGAAGAGTGAAGTTTCGACCCTACTTAAACAATTTGTTACGATGGTAGGACGTCAATTTAATAAATCGGTGAAAATTGTTCGGAGTGATAATGGGACAGAGTTTCAGTATTTAAAATCTTATTTTTTGGACATTGGAATTTTGTTTCAAACTACATGTGTTTATACTCCGCAACAGAATGGAAGAGTTGAGCGTAAGCACAGACACATTTTGGAAGTAGCACGCACACTTCGATTTCATGCACATTTACCCATTGATTTTTGGGGTGAGTGTGTATTGACTGCCTGCTACCTCATTAATCGGCTACCTTCAACCGTCTTGGATTTTAAAAGCCCGTATGAAATTTTGTTTAATAAAGTGCCCAAGTATGATCACTTTCGGGTGTTTGGCTGTTTATGTTATGCACATAATCATGAGAAAAATAGGGATAAATTTGCTACACGGGGAATCAAAAGTGTTTTTTTGGGATATGCTCATTCCCAGAAGGGATGGAAATTATTTAATCTGGAGACACTGAATATTTTCGTTTCACGTGATGTTACCTTCGTTGAAACAATATTTCCATTTGCAATTGAGGACCTACACGTTTCGGAGGTCAGAGAGAATACGGATTCACTTAAGTTTTGGGATGACAATCCCGTTACCAAGTTTGCTGTAGATGATGCATTGGAATTATCCACATCCCATGCTGACCAGCAGCACATTCACGTGGAGAGTCAACCAAATGGTACAGAAGATGGCATGGCAACGCCAAGTGCTAGACCATTGGCAGCAACTCCAGGAATGACTACCACAGCTGATCAGCTTGCTCGACGCAGTCAACGCCCCAGGCAGACCCCAGGTTGGCATCAAGATTACGTGGTCCAGCTGAATACTATGAAAATAGATGCTCCCCCTGCTCGAACCTTGCATCCACCGGTTGACTCAGGTAATCCTTATCCCTTATCTCATTACATCAATTATACTCGTTTTCTGTTCGCCATCGAGCTTTGCTTGCAGCGGTTTCTGCCAATACCGAACCTAGCACGTATAAGGAGGCTGTCCGTGATCCTCGCTGGCGTGCAGCCATGCAACATGAAATACAGGCCCTGGAGAGGACGGGCACTTGGCGACTCCAGGATCTTCCACCTGGTAAAAAGCCCATTTTTTGTAAATGGGTTTACAAAATAAAATATAAGAGTGATGGAAGCATCGATCGGTACAAAGCCCGACTAGTTGTGTGTGGTAACCGCCAAGTACAGGGTATTGATTATGACGAGACATTTGCGCCCGTGCCTAAGATGGTCACTGTTCGCACCATGCTAGCCATTGCAGCTTCCCGTGATTGGGAAATACACCAGATGGATGTCGATAATGCCTTTCTCCACGGTGATCTGCACGAGGAAGTCTATATGCATCCTTGATAACCGCTTTCGCGGCGTTGTAGTAAAACGGAGTCTAACCTTTCGGTTTTTCCCCGAGTGTCGTGTCTCTTGAGGAATGGCGGAGAAGTTTCTTAATTTAATTTTAGTCACGGGCTATCGCTAATTGTTGGAAGCTTTTTCAATATAGGAAAGTGATTTTGTTCTATATTACGCTAAATTATAACTAGGAGCAAGGTGCAATTTAAAGATTAATGTATAAATATTGAATATTCAAGGATGCAAATAAGGGCAATGAATTGAGTAATTAGAAATGGATATGTTCTTGGACCTCTTAATTAGGGAAATTAAAACTAAAATTGGACTAATAATTTCTTTCCTCATAGACAAGAATAGAAACTATCTTCATTAATTTATCCTATTTCTAGGTGTCATTAATTTGTTTAAAATGGTTGGCTTAAATTATTTTCTAAACCCATAGACAAGGTAGAAATAATTTTCCAATATTTTAATTAATAAAAATAGCCAAATTCATTAACTAGTTAAACTCTTTATTTTAGCAATTGAATTTATTTCTCATAGACAAGATGTAAATCCTTTTCATTAAATTATCCTATTTCTAGGCCTTATTAATGTGCTCAAATATGGTTGGCTTAAATTAATTTCTAATCTCATAGACAAGTTAGAATTAATTTTCCAAGAATTTAATTAATGAAAATGGCTAACTATTATTAATTACTATTTCATCATTTCAAACAACTAGTCCAATTTATTAATTTTAACCCCTAATTTTAGGTCAACAAGTCAATCCATATTCCTTTTCTCAATTCATGCCCTAACAAATTTAGCTACTCATCACCATTTTTGCAATTAACAATATAATGATTAAATTCAACATTAACAAGGAATTAAACATGTATGATAGCAAAAATTAAACAAAAATTATATTCTGGAACAATAAACTTGTAGGAACTAAAATATAACTTTCTGGAATTTTTCACCAATTTTTGAACCTAAAATCCAATTTTTGACAACTAATTGATAATTTTCCCAATTTTAACTAGAAAATGCAAAAAGCAACTAAAAATATGCTAACTTCGTTATAAATTTTATTTTAGCTACTGGGAGTGATATTACTATGAATCAAACTGAAATTAAGGCCGAACTAATTTTTTTTCTTTTTTAGTATTTATTTTGACTTAAGCAATAATATAACGTAGTTACCGAAATTAATAAAAAATACTCTAAATTCGTACCAAATTTTATATTAACTAAACTAAGTTAACTAAACTGTAAATAGGGCCGAACTCATTTTTTTCCTATTTTTCTAGTATTTATTCTAAATTATGAACTAATCTCAAATAATTACCAAAATTAATTAAAAATTACTTATGCTTCGTGAAAAATTAATTTCTTCAGATAAATAACTACCTTGAGGCTAGTGAACAACTATATAATTAATTGGAATGAATTCAACAACAATAACTATTTTATTTAATTTTTGGAAGTAAATGCGAAATACTTGAAAAATAATCTGGAAATTTTCGAAGAACAGATTGAACAAACAAAGTGCAGATTCAGATTCTACTCGTTGAGAAGATGAAAATACATATAAAGAACTTACAATTTGGAGCTAAAATGAAGAAGATATGAAGATTTGAAGTTTCTCTCTCTCTAAGACCTTTGGAGCTCGAAAATGGAGGAAGAAAGAAGGTGTTTTGAACTGATTTAGGGTTGGAAGAGGTGTGTTTGAGTTGAGGAAAAAGCCTGGATTTTATAGCCAAAAAATTCCCGTAGGCGCCCGGGCAGGCGGCCGCCTTCCGGCAGCCTCTGGCCGCCTGCCGTCCTGTCGCCGGCAGACCGTCGGTGGCGGTCCCGTCAGCCGTAGGCGGCCGCGGAGGGCGGCCGCCTTCTGTCAAAAATGGCCGCCTGCCATCTTTTCGTTGGCAGATCGGATCCCGACGGATCCCGGCGGACCCCGGCCGCCGCAGGCGGTCCAGCAGGCGGCCGCCTGCCGTCCTGTCTGGCCGCCGCAGGCGGTCTAGCAGGCGGCCGCCTGCCGTCCTGTCTGGCCGCCTGCCGTCTTGTCTGGCCGACCGGTGGTTGGTTTCGTCCCCTTGTGCCGCAGGCGGCCACCGTAGGCGGCCGCCTTCTGTCCAGTGTCGGCAGCCTTCGGTCTTTTCCTGGTCCCGAGTCAAAGCGAGGTTGACTTCTGAATTTTCCCGTAGGCGGCCGCGAAGGCCTCCATTTTGGGCGCCTATTTGGGCGCCTTCGGCCACTTTTGTCTGGCAGATGCGGCTTTTCTTGCTCTTCAACTTTGTCTTCTGAATCACCTTGATAAAATGCTTGCTTCTTCCGGTATAAATGCATTTGTCACTCAAATTGACTCATTTTGTGCTCAATTGACCCGAAATCCCGCTAAACATATTATGGATGTGATTTTTACCTGATTTCATGAAACTTGAACCAAAATATATAAAATGTGTCTTTTCTTTCTATTTTTATTCAAAAATCGCTTAAATTTGATAAGAAAAATAAGTACAAAAATGGACTTATCAATCCTCCTCCAGGTTATTCCACCCCTAAATCTGGTCAGGTGTGTAAATTACTTCATTCTCTTTATGGGCTTCGTCAGGCACCCCGGTGTTGGTTTTCCAAATTGACAGCTACCCTAGTAGCATATGGGTTTCAACAATCTCATGCGGATTATTCCTTGTTTACTCTCCATCGTGGGAAACACATCTTATGTATCTTGGTTTATGTTGATGATTTGCTTATTACTGGCTCTAATCCTGACATGATCTCTTTTTTTAAATCTTCTTTGGCCTCTACATTTCCTGGGTCACATGAAGTATTTTCTTGGATTGGAGGTAGCCCGGAGTGAGCACGGCATTTTTTTATGTCAGCGCAAATATGTCTTGGATATTCTTACGGAGACAGGTTTGGTTGGAGCTAAGCCCGCAACGTTTCCTATGCCTCAAAATCATCAATTGCAATCTGATGACGGACCATATTTCTCTGAGCCTGACCGCTATCGCCGTCTTGTTGGGAAGCTTATTTATCTCACTCTTACTCGGCCAGATATTAATTATTCGGTACACATTCTTTCCCAATTTATGCAAGCCCCACGCCTTGCACATTGGGAGGCGGTGCTTCGAGTTCTTCGGTATCTCAAGAGCCACCCCGGCCAAGGCATTCTAATCGGCCGTCATACATCTCTTTCTCTTACCGGATTTTGTGATTCTGATTGGGCTAGTTGCCCCATCACTCGTCGCTCCGTTACTGGTTATTTTGTTACTCTTGGTGGTTCTCCTATTTCGTGGCGTACCAAAAAGCAGGCCACCGTCTCCCATTCATCCGCAGAAGCAGAATACCGCTCCATGACTGCTCTCATTTGTGAGTTACTTTGGCTCAAAAGCCTTTTCTCTTCCTTGCGGTTGCCGTTACCACCTATGCAACTCAAATGTGATAATAAGGCAGCTATACACATCGCTTCTAATCCCGTGTTTCATGAACGCACGAAGCACATTGAACTCGATTGTCATTTCATTCGAGATCATGTACGTTCGGGTGTGATTATACCCTCATACACTTCTACCTCGGAGCAGTTGGC